ATTTTATAAATTAAAGTGACTGATATATCAAAATAAAAAATTAAGGATGTCACAAAGTTAAAATGACAAAATTGAAGAATCAATTTATGTATTAAGCTAATTCAAAACCTTGTTGTATTTAAAATGATTTTCGTATTTTTGAGTCAAAATCCTTTTTTTTATCACTAATATAAATCACAATTTTAGGTTGAACAATTTAAAATATTGTACTTGAATATGTTTAAAAATAAAATCAAAATTATCATGCTACCAACCCCAACGCAGCTAAAAAAGAAATAAAAACTTAAGATCTATTCAACAAAATTAATTATTTTAATAATTATTAATTGTTAATTGTCCTATGAATAATAAAAGCAAATAACGATTCATAATTCGTTTTCTCAAATTTTCATTGCTTTTATAAATGTTGTGTGACCGAAAGTCATAAATAATAAAAACACATTTTGACTAAAGTCGAGCTGTTACACAACATGGCCTTAATTTTCTATATCAATAGCAAAAAAAAAAAAAAGGAAAAATATCATTTCATATCAATCTCATTCATGATATTTATTTTATCGAACAATAATGTTCTTGAAGTTAGAAATCTAGCCTTGTCTTACTTTAAGAATTTTAAATATTACAGAATTTTAAATTAGAACGCCATTTTTCTTTCCAATTTTTTGCTAAACACAACATTATTTTAAACAGATATTTTCTAAATTTGTCTTAAATAATAAATTTGTTACGTAAAAAATGAAGGAAAAAAAAAAAAGAAAGAAAAAGCAGAAAGAAAGGTCTGGACGAGGAAATGTGTTGAAGAAAGCAATCCTAATCGTAACCTGTATAATAATGTCAAACGAAAATCAGAAACAGTGCGTGCAGGTGCAGGAAAGAAAGCGCAACATCCAAATTTTAACACGTCTTCTCGTACCAAAATTGATTATTATTTTTCTGTTATATATAAAAAAATGATAATAATAATTAATTAATAATTTATAATAGCAATATCGCAATCCCATAACAGAAGTTATAGACGGTCAATGTTTGATGGTGACTTTGGGAAATGATGACGACTTAATTCTTGCTCAAGCAATTTTCTTGCCCTTCAATTTGACCAAAATGTTCTTGCAAATGGCAAATATTACTTTGTTGGCCTTGTGTACATTATGGAATAATTTCTATTTTTCTAATCATTCTACTATTTTGTCCTTCTATTTATTTTTTATACTTTTTACGTTAAAATTTTGGTATAATTACTATTTTATTTTTATATTATCAAACGTAACTATTTTTTTTCTCTCCCTTTAAAAATAGCCTATTTTATCTCAAAAAACATAAACACAAAATAGTTAATTTTTTTTGTTTAGAATGGAAAATTGCTTCTATTAAGAGTAACTAGTATTACGGTCCGTGCGATACACGAAGTAATAATAAATAATGAAATAATTTTTTATAACATCATTTAAAAATAATAAATGATCGTGAAATGCATTACAAAATTGTATCGTTGAAATATGTTAAAAAACGTTGCAATGCTAACATATGTCTTCTTAAATATGTTAAATAATTTTGATATCTTTTTTTATTAAAGAATGGTCAAAAAACAATAAAGAGGAACTAAATTTTTTTCTAGAAAAAACTTATGTTACTTATTTTTTTGGATATAAATGAAAAATAAAATTGATAGAAGGAAGAAAACACATATAGTAAAGAGTTGAGATTAGAAATCAATTTTTCTAATGATTAATTTCCGTCAAAGCGTAACTCTAAATGGGAGGGAGAATGAAATAATTTTTTTTTTTTGAAAAAAAAAATTATGTTACTTACTTTTTTGGATATAAAAGAAAAATGAAATTAATTTTTCTCTATAAATTTATTTTTATGATTTTTTTTATTTTCTTTCTAATTTGAAGAGAAAATTATGTGAATTCTTTTACGTTATATTTCTATTTATTTCCAAATAAAATAGTTTTTACTTATTAATATTAATTTTCTTTTCTTTTCTTTTTTCCCTATATGATATTATCTGAAACTATAAAACAACTTATCTTCTTATAATTGTTATCATTACAATTTATCTTCTTACAATTATAGTAAATAACTAATCTCCTCACACTTAGCAATTTAAAAAACTTACACTTGATTGTCATTTAAGATAGGCTTATCTGCTTTTATATATTATATAGATTGTCCAACAAAATAAAAAGATAAAATATGAAAATATTTTTAAATTGTTTAACAAAAAAAATATGAAAATAGATAGAAGGATAATATAGTTGGATGAAATCCAATGTTCGGGATAAAGTTACCTATTTTTGAACTACAGAAATAAAACAATTAGTTATGACAAAAATATAGAGACAAAATAATAATTATTCTAAACTAAAAATTAAGTATATATATAATTTAGAAAGACTTTATTCACACACATCAACGAGTCTAATAAATTTGTTGACCTATTTACTTATATATAGTCACGAAGTGGTTTTCTTTTTTGCATATTATGTTTTTAAATTTTTTTTTGGCATATATTAATAATTATATTAGAATAATCCAATTGGTTATTAAAACATAAAAGTTGGGTGTTGGTCAATAGTCAATTGGTCAATTGGTAAATTGGTCAATTGGTCAATTGCTCATGAAATTTACATTTATATGTCCGTGCAGCTAACTAACCGTTAATCAGTGCATTGCAATTTGTATGATCAATTGATCATCTTTGGCTGAATGCATAAAATTCAGCTTTGTACCGCTTTTAAGTTTTAGTTTCACCTATTTAATACTTTAATTTATAAAATTACGTTTATTAAATATATTAATTTTTAAAATATTTATATTAGTATATTTTTATTTATAAATTAGATTAATTAAATACTTATATAAATTATTGCATTATATTTTTAGGTTTTAGTTCAAATTTCTTTGTAGAAAACCGAATAGATCAAAATAACTGAAATATTGTCTTGATCGGTTAAATTTTGGTTTAACCAAAAAATAATTGAATCAATATGTTCTTTTTTATCGATTTGATTCATATTTTTAACTAATTGATTGATTACTTTAAAATTTAAAAAATGTAAATGTGATTATTCAGTTTAGTTATGTTTCAACAAAGAAAATCCTATTACCCCTGAAAAAAACTGAGAAAATTTTATTATTTTTTATTTAGACTCTATTTGTTTTCGTAAAAAAACGTGCATAAAAATAGTTTTTATAATTTTACGTTGTTTGGAGCGTTCTGGAAAATATTTTCCTGAACAAAGAAAAATTAAATTATTTTTTAAGGAAAATAACTTTCTGTTTTTTAGAGAAAAAAATATTTTTCAGATATTAACAAATCTTATAAATCCATATTTTTTTTAATTTATTAATCATTATAGTCACTACTATTAGTCATCATTTACCACCGAGGCTTTCATATTTTACATTTTTTTGCATTCTTCTCATATTTAAAAATAAAATTTTTAAATTATAAAATTTCTATTATTATTAATATTTTTTACGTCTTATAAAATTTTTAAATTATAAAATTTCTATTATTATTAATATTTTTTACGTCTTATGAGATAAAGACTTTAATATTTTTAACTAATTTTCAATATTACAACCAAACAATGAAAAATAAGTCATTTAGAAAATATTTTTTAACAAATTATTTTTCTACGAGTTATTCTATGGAAACGAATGAAATATTAGTCTTATTAGTTTGTTTTGATTTTCTATTTTAAAAATTTTATTTACCTAGTTATACCTATTAATTTTAATTTAACCGAATGCTCACCGTGTGAATAATAAATTATAATGTAGCTCATAAAAAATTATTTTAAACATATTGTTACTTTGTAAAGGTTACATAATAAATAAATATAATGTAATCAAATTATTTTAATACAGCAATAATTAAGAATCCATTTTACTATTACTATTTACGATGAAACAAAAAACATTATTTTCTTAATCGTTCCTTTCGAAATCAAAATTTGGAGAAAGAGAAATGCAATGCAAGTACAAGATGGTTCAAAAAAAAAAAAAAAAAAAAAAAAAAAAACGTAAGGTCTCCCTTGCTTCAAAACAAAGTTAGGTGCGTTACAGGAATTGGCCCAGCATTTAAGACAAAAACAAAACGGGAAAAAGCAAAAAGTGAATTCCTAGAATAATAAATATCAGCTTTAAATAGGGGTATATTTGGGAAAACGTATAGATGAGAAGATTGAAATTGGACGTCACGATAGCAACGGTCGTCAAATTTTCTGTCAAACCTAAACACCTTCCGCACACTTTCTCTCTCCCTTCCACACACTTCCAAATTTAGAATATCTTTTGACCTAACTAACCAAACCCATAACACAAGATTAAAATTTGCTTCTCAAAAAAAAAAAAAAAAAAAAAAAAAAAAAAAAAAAAAAAAAAAAAAAAAAAAAAAAAAAAAAAAAAATCAAGGATTATAAACAATTAAAACAAATTTCAAAAATTAATTCAAATATTCTTAAAAATTTTGATTTTCTTCATTTATAAATCTATTAAATAACAATAAATTGTTTTTAATTGTTAGACTGATTAATATGTGAATATAATACAACAAAATTGGTAAATTATTGTGAAAATATTATAATTAAATGCATTTGTAACAAAAGCATTACATTAAAAATGCATTTATAACTCATGAAACAGATTTTGAAAGTACAAATTTTGGAAATAAAAATTAATTCAGTTGATAAGTAGACTTAAAAATAAATAATTATTTATTTTATTAATTAAAATATATTGTATTATTATTTGTTTAAATAAATGTTTTCATGCACAATACAGAAAGTTATTCAAATAAAATATTTGAGTAATAACAATTTAAGGTTCCAAACCTGTCAACATATGCAACTATATTGTTAAATAAATTTAAAAAATCAAAGTAAAATAAGTATTTTAATTATTCATCTTAGTTAAAGCTTAAAAATAAAATAAAATGAATGAAAATTTAAATAATATATATGGATAGACTACAATAAACACCGACGTATACACACACACACCCCACTACTAGAATGCCCGCACCAGACACACAAACACACACTCCCTCTACAACTTTCTCTCTCTTTCTGCAACAAACGACGAGATACTCCGCGCTGGCAAGATTCCCTTCCCTGTCCTTCTCCGACTGTTTCCTTTTCCCTTCTGCTTATCTCTCTCTTTCTCCGGCTCCGCTAACCCTAACAAAAATTTTCCCGAGAAACAAACGGACCTACACAATCTCTATTATCATGTTGACTACTTTCTTCTTCATTATCATCTCCTGATAACATTCTTACACCTACCACAGTAATTAAAATAATAAAACCAAATCCCAACCTCCATAAATTAATTTTTATTTATTAATTTATATATATTTTTTTAAATATGGGCTGCACTACTTCCAAGCTCGATGATCTTCCGGCGGTGGCGCTTTGCCGGGAGCGTTGTGCTTTTCTCGATCAAGCTATTCTCCAGCGTTTTGCTTTCGCTGATGCTCATAATGCTTATATTCATTCTTTAAGAACGGTTGGTAATTCTTTGCATCATTTTATCGAACAAGATTATGGCGTTTCTGGTTTTGCTCCTTTATCTCCTAAGCTTAATTTACCTCCTCAAAGAAAGGGCGATCCAGTTAATCTCAGCGATGAAGGTACTAGTTCGCCTAAAAAAGCTCATATAGCTCACCACTCACGCTCGAACTCCGGTTCTCACCTTCAATTCCACTCCGATTCGGACTCTGATGGTGACGATTCTGATTCTCATCTCCACCATTCTGATCACTCCTCTCCTTTACACCACCCAGGCGGCGTTGGTCATGTTGAATATATGCCTTCAGAATATATGAATGGTGAGAACGATTCATATCCTGGTGGTGGGTTTCTACATATGAATTATATGAAGAAAGCTGCGACGCCCTCTGTTGTTTATGAGCAGAGGCCTATGACTCCTGAGACTGTTCATTTTGGCGAATCTTCATCTTCTTATTATTATCCTAATAATAATAATAATAATAATAATAATAATAATCCCTATCCAGTGAATTATTATGGATACCCAAATTATGGTCCCGGTGGAGTTCCAATGAGTGGTTACTACGGGTCTTCGCCTCCATATGGATCTTCAGTTGCACCGCCTGCTGTGGCTTCCTCGTCGAAACCACCGCCACCTCCTCCTCCGCCTCCAACAACTTCAACTTGGGATTTCTTGAATTTCTTTGAGAGTCATGATAATTACTATCCGCCTTACACGCCGAGTAGAGACTCGAAGGAATTGAGGGAAGAGGAAGGGATTCCTGATTTGGAAGATGATGATTACCAACAAGAGGTGGTGAAGGAAGTTTATGGACATGAGAAATATGTTGGCGCTGGTGGCGGAGGCGGCGTTCCTCCCAGTAATAATTACTCGAAATCAGTGATGATGGAGGATGGGGGTGCTAAAGCTGGTGGTAGTACTGAGGCCTCCCTTTATCAAACGAGACCGAACGTGTCCATGGATAATGATGGTGGACTGGAGTATGAGGTGCACGTGGTGGAGAAGAAAGTTGTAAATGATGAGAGGTCAGACGAGCAAAGAAATGCTGGATTTAAGCGAGGAGGTGGGTTTCGGGATGTGTCTCAAGTGGCTTTTGAAATCAAGATTCAATTCGAGAGAGCTTCTGAGTCTGGGAAAGAAATTGCTAAGATGCTCGAAGTCGGAAGGCTTCCTTATCAGCGAAAACATGGTGGGTATAATGGTTTCATTATAGGTTTTTTTTATTAATTTTTTATTTTTTAAATAAATATTTTATTTTTTAAATAAATATGTTATTTTTTATGTGATTGAGGAATTGCCACTGTATACCTGCTTGCTTGATCTGTACCGGTTATTGCAGTTTTGGTGTCTAATTAAGTAATGAATTAGAGATAAACTTCAATGATAGTTCTAATGGTTGGTTTATTTGTTTTATTGAAGTGAGATTTCATTTAGCTGGAGTTTAATTTGCAATTTTGTGTCTTTGTTGAGCAGTTGCTAAGATGTTGCACGTAGTCACTCCTTCGTTATCTGTAGTATCCTCACAGCCATCTACTTCTAAAAGTATTGAACCCTCTTCCTCTGCTGACAAGGCTGATCCTGCCTACTTGGAGATTGAGGAAGATTTGGCAATGAGGTCTAAAAACCTTTCTTCTACCTTGCAAAAGCTGCATCTTTGGGAGAAGAAACTCTGTAATGAAGTTAAGGTATTATTTGTCTTGTAGATTTCTATTGTTAAGCTGGGCTTCAATCTTTCATTCTTCCATGCAATTTGATTTCTTCAATTCAAACTTCTTTGTTGTCCTCTAAAGAATGCCAGCTTCCTTACTTTTACATACAATTTCTATTCCTGCGCAGCCTCATACTTTTTGATGAACGAATGCAGCTTCATTTCTGTTCAGAAAATAAATAAATAAATAAAACCTTTTTGAATCTGCTATATTGTCCATATTTATGTTTGTTCATCTCAATCTGATGCAGTGTGAGATTTCTGTCATTGTTTTTGCTTTGAAATCTTATTGTAGGAAGTTCTGAGTAGTAGTCATCTAATATTTTTACGTGAATGATTTTTTCATTTGAAATAGATTATAGTTAAGACAAACTCTGCTACTTCCACTGCCTATATCTTTTTATAACGATGTATGAGCCGACTTTTCTTGATTACCAATAATAATAATAATAATAATAATAATAATCTTTTATTATTTCTTACTTGGCCTTTTCGTAGTATTTTTGCCGCAATATGGGTTCAAAACACTGAGGCGATATATATATATAGGGTTCTGCATTATTTTGTGGATAGTAGTCTTTATATGCCTTTTATTTATAGATTACATCATTCTGTTCTTTTGCAGGCTGAGGAGAAAATGCGGGTACTTCATGACAGGAAGTGCCGCAAGCTAAAGCATTTGGATGAGAAGGGTGCTGAAGCTCATAAAGTTGATGCAACTCGAATTTTAATTAGGAATCTATCCACAAAAATAAGAATTGCAATTCAGGTTGTAGACAAGATATCTGTTACAATAAACAAGATTCGGGACGAGGAGCTATGGCCTCAATTGAATGAATTAATTCATGGGTATGTTGGCATTTCTTCTTCTGTGGTTTTTTGCAGTCCTGTACCTGCTAAACTCTGTTCTGAACTTGTGTTGCTCTTTCCTCTCTATACTGGAACCATTGGCTGCAATGCGTCTGACCATCTTATCCATCTGCTTTTGTTTGACCGTGATATCTGACCATTTGATTGTGTTGATATTATTTTTGAGTACACTTTTCTGGCCATGATATTCTGGCTCATGTCTTTATTGTTTTTTTGCTGGCTATAAAATTGCATAATCAATATATTTGATGCAAGAACTATTTCATTAATATTGTGACAATCGTTGTAGTTTTCATGGGTCATAACTTCTAATCTAAGGTTAATGTGCAGATTGTACTTCATATTTGAAATATAGATGTGATGGTTAATTATCTTGCACCTTGATCATGGTAGAATTGTTAGGTTAGGAGAGAGCTTTGACTTGGGAGCAACAAGGAATTTAATAAAGTGGCTTCTGCAACTTGGGTAGTCTTCTACAAAATAATATTAAAACAAACTCCCGATAAATAATCTAAGGTATCTTCCTGGGGCATTGAAATGCCAGTTGCAGAGTAAAATATATGTGCCAGCATGGTAGTTTATACTTAATTAGAACTGACTCATGGTTACATCTGTAGTTGTCAAATCGGGAATTGAATCGAATGGTAAGATTTGGTTGATCAATTAAAAATCATTAATTTATCATAGTTGATGCTTGTTGGTAGATCTTGTTAACGATCGTGATTGACAGTGCTGTTGGTTCACTTGTGTGTGAAACTGAGAGATTATTAATGCTTTATGTTGTTTGGGAGAGATTTTTTATGTGCATATCTGAATAGCATGCAGTTCAAAATTTGTTCAGTTTGTTTCATGAAATAGTGTAGTGCGGTTACTTCTAGGATAAGGGAGGAGACCTTTGCTGATTAAAAATCCAGCTGGTCCTTTAAGCTTCCTTTGAGGGTAAGCAATTGTGACTTGACTTTTCAGAAGTAATAGAGTACTCACTCAATGTTTTTGATGTTGTTTGCTTTCCATGTGTTTATGTTCGCACTTTTTATGGATGGAGTGGATTTAAGTAGAAATGTTTGATCAAACATCTAAGTGGTATTGGTAAGCATGGCACTTGTTTCAAAAGAAAGGGAGTCAGGAGCACTAGCTCTAAGTTGTTGTTATCCACAAAAGTTTCTGGGACATATTACTTATAACTTCAACATATGCATAATATAAAATGGTATGGGAGTTACAATCACTACCTTCATGTTCAATTGTTGGAAATTCTTGTGTCCCTCGGTCATCACAAGCACTAAACTGGAGCTCTTTATTGGATCAACCATCCATGTGTAACTGAAGCTACAGTTGAAGCCAGTGGCAGCAGGTTTGATGTTTGTGAAGCAGACTTTTGATTCATTATATTCTCCTATTACTTTTTTTTACTTAAGATATATGGCCTATGGTTGAGCTAGCTATCAATAGATATGCCAATTTGAATGATCCAGGAAAGTTAAACATCTCATGATATGGAATGTTCTTGTTTCATTGAGGACATTTTAATGTAAATTAAAATTACTTTCTGAAGGAGATGTGCCAAACCCCAACCATCCCCGCCGCCTTCTCTTAAAGCTAAAGAATAGAGCTAATGTTTGCCAATTAACATAGCAGTGTAGGTGTAAAGAATATTCCATTGAGTAATGGTGCAGTGGTTTATCTTCAATAAGTTATGAATTCATGTGCAGGCTATTAAATAATATCCTGTTGATATACTCATGGTTTATTATTGTTGTGGTTCGTTATTATTATTATTATTGTTGTTGTTGTAGATGTGTACAACCCTTTTTTTCCTTGGGAGTGGTGTTTAATTTGGAAATTTAATTCTTTATGGGGGAAAACATGCATGTGAGTTCCAAATTTAACTATATGGTTTAAGTTCATTCTTGGCTCTAATGTATTTGGCCAATTCTCATTTCAGGTTAACCAGGATGTGGAAAAGTATGCATGAATGCCATCAGAGTCAGTGTCAAGCAGTTAAAGAAGCCAAAGGTTTAGGTTCTATTGGATCTGGTAAAAAGCTTGGTGATGATCATCTTAAGGCGACATTGCAGCTTGAGCATGAGCTTCTTAATTGGACTTCCAGCTTCTCAAGTTGGATAGGTGCCCAGAAGGGTTACGTGAGAGCCCTGAATAACTGGCTTAACAGATGTCTTTCACATGAACCAGAAGAAACAGCAGATGGAATTGCTCCCTTCTCTCCTGGTAGGATGGGTGCCCCTCCAGTTTTTGTAATCTGTAATCAGTGGGCACAAGCTATGGAAATAATATCTGAAAAGGAAGTAATTGATGCTATGCGAATTTTTGCCTCAAGTGTGCTTAAGCTTTGGGAACAAGATAAACTAGAAATGCGCCAAAGAATGATGATGAACAAGGATTTGGAGAGAAAAGTTAGGAACTTAGATAGAGAGGATCAAAAGATACATAAAGAGATTCAGGCATTGGATAAGAAAATTGTTCTGGTCTCAGGGGATGCTTATAGTCTTTCAGTGACTGGAAACGCTGTATATCAGAGTGATACTAGCAATAGCAGTCTGCAGGGGAGTTTGCAACGTATATTTGAGGCCATGGAGAAGTTCATGGCTGATTCGGTAAAAGCTTATGAGGAACTCATTCAGCGCAGTGAAGAAGAAAGGCTTGCTCGAGATCATGAGAGAGTTTCATAGGGCTGTATGGTGCAATTAGAAATGCTCTCTCTTTTATACAAGCTGCATTGCTTATCTTGTGCAAATCCTATGAGAAATTGTGTGAAGCCCAGGCTCTGCCAGAATATTCAGCATGGAGTTGGCCCTGCAGTGGAGTTATTGCTGGTTGTTTGAAGTCTTCAATTGAGGGCAGACTTCATCATGAGGTTGGTGGTTGTGGGTCCGGGCTCAGTAACGTGCCATATTGCTGGTTAAGATTTTTTTGGAGGATTGAATTGGGAGTGGTGGGATGATCTCTTCTCCATGAGCAGTGGCTTTTACTCATATCGAGGCAATCACTACAGCTGAGTAGTAATTTGCAATTGATGGACATGAGATCAAGCCAGTTTAAACTAAACTGAGCCACTTAATGCATTTGGCAATACAGATTCTAGGTAGCTCATGGGACTGCATTTGAGAACAGATATTCTGAATCCATGAGCTACCTGTCGATGCCCTATGGGCAAAGTTGCCATCAATATGCCATCAAGTGTGATTGTATGAGGCTTTGATGAAAGGCAGGCGGGAATAAGCTTTTAACCAATTGAAGGATAGACGGATGTGTAACCTGGCCATTCTAAGTGAAGCACATTTCCCCTAAATTTTGATTAGTTCAGGTATAGGTGTAAAGGGCTGTCAAGGTCGACGCAAGTCTGAAATTTCCAGATATCAGATAATGTATGTATGGTAAAATAACTTCTTTTCTTTGTTCCTTTTTCTTTTCAATTATTTATTTATATTAATTAATTAATTTTTGTACGGGCCTTTTCACTGAAAAGACTTTCAATAAAGAGTATTACTGAAAATATAGCCAATAAGATAATAGTATTATTCCACGCAGCTACAGAATGTATTGATATGGGTTGCTGAGGTATTTTTGTATTGCAGATCCTATTCTGTAAGGATAATAAACACTAGCTGCCTGCTGGTGTGGCTAGAGTCTCTCTCTGCACTTGGAATAAATTAGTGCGCAGCTCAAGGCATGTAAAAGTGAACGTGGTTCAAACTCCAAAGTCCTGTTGATGGGCCTGCCTTCGGCTTTGATAACTCGAAATTTTCTCAAAGCTTGGTGATTGGCCTGCTCAATCTAGTGAGGTTTTTTTGAAAAATAATGCGGTTGGACAGAGTATGAGAATCTTTTGGGTGGGAGATATCGAGTAGTACAGAGTATCATTGTGAAACTGAAATGACTAGAAAAAATATAATAATAATAATAATAATAATAATAATAATAATAATTGAGTGAGAGGTGATTAGGACATTTTGGTTGTAACGCACGATGGAGTTTGCTTTATCTGGGTTCCGCGAGTCAGAAAAGTTTGTGATAATTGTTGGCGGGGTATGCAGAAAGAACAAGTCTGTTTCTGATTATCTTTGACATTTTTTGCCCAGTGACATAATTGGACACTCGTACAAGCTTTTAAAAATAATTCCATTATGCACAAACCATGTCTTTTTTCATTAAACGAAAAATATTTTTTACTATTTTCAATTCGTTTTCACTGAAATGAATTTCAATTTACCTTTTAAACTTGTGAAAAAGCTTAATTATTGTTCTATTGTTCTTTTTATTTTCTTTTCTTTTTTCAAAGCTCCATCTCTCCAACTCCAATGAGGAGAAAATATTGTAAAAAGGAGGAAAAAAGAAAGGAAAATAACTTGTGCACATGGCCGTGGTAAAAGAGAAATTAGCTCATGGAGGAGCAATGGTGGAAGACTTTTGAAACATGTATTGACCGATTTGAATGAAAAACAATAAGGCTAAATGGCTTAAGTCGTGTTTGGCACAACAAGAATCTCTATAGATGGAATGTCTATAATGTCCTCGGTAATTTTTTATTTAATTGGATGAGGGACCCGTAATTTGAATTTTAAAATCTACATTTTCTTTCTACTTTATTAAATGTCCAGTCTTTAACTAGCGAATAAGCAAACTGTGATCTTTTAACAAAACAAAACAATAAAGAAAAACAATTCTCTTAATAGAGTTTGACAATCAGAAATCACACGATCAAAATAAGAGCAATTAACAAAATCCTTTTGCAAAGCTTGAGTGGCAAGCAAACAATCGCTCTTAAGTAGCAATGGTTGTTGAAAGCGTTTCTCTTTCAACAAACTTAATGTTTACCATTAAAGAGTTAGAAGGCAACCCTAGATTCATCGTCTTTCCATCGACACTTACCCGTTGGAATATGGGACAATCCAGCCTGCACCCTACATCAAAGGATGTTTTAACATTAACCTTAAAAATGCTGTCAATCTGGTGGTCTCCACTTTAAAGTAAATTGCAACAGCTTTGTGGTTTCTAGTAATGGAAGTTATTGAATTGTAATCAGGTGATGATGTTAATATGATGTATAGATATGATGATAACATTGACGCAAATTATTGGGGCATGAGGTTTTGTCAAATTCCATAGTTAAAGTAGAGGAGAGAGAGTGTAAGTTTCAAATTTAAATTCAGTATTCTTCATCTAGACATGGCCATATTCGGTTTTAGGAACCGAAACCGTGCGGAATTGAAACCGGAGGCTTGCGGTCAGGTTCCGATTTCAAGTTTTGAGGAATCGTGAACCGTTGGTTCCAAGAACTGAATGAAACCGATATTTGTTCCAACCGGTTAGAACCGACAGTTTCAACAATTTTTTTTTTTTTTACTTTTTAAAAATTTTTTGTGAACTTCCCAAATTAACCATGTTAACAACTATATAACGGCTAGTTTTAAGGGTATTTATAGAAAGTTGATTTTTTGGATTTATTATAAATACACATTATTTTCATTTATCTTCACGCAAAATTATTTCTCTCTACTCTCCAATCTTTCTAAGCTCTCCCATTTATAATTGTCTAAATTATTGTCAAATAATTTCTTCAAATTCGAATATTTAATTATTGTCCAAGCCCCTTTTTTTTTTAAAAAAAAGTTCAAGCCTTTTTTTATATTTTTAAAGGTTTTTTTTAAAAATTATTTCATGAATATTTAAATTTTTAATTTTCAATAAAAATATTCTCTAATTTTTTATTTTGTAATTATGCGATTCGCTGAAAAATTGATCAAAGAACTGGTCAAAACCGTCAGTTTTAAAACCGTTAAGGAACCATAGCCGGAACCATTAGTTTTCGATTTGGTTCCGTTTCACTTTTTATGGTAGTCAGTATAAATAATTCTTTTTTATTCTAAAAAAACTATAGATGATATTCTGTTTTTATTTTTGGTGATAGGTAGGCTATTTCACGTCATAACAGGATAATTCTATCAATAATATTCATGAAGTTAAATTTGATATTGCTTCCTCAAATAAGCAAATTTAAAATATCCTCTCTCTCTCACTAAGTTTTTTTTTTTTTCCAATCCAACCAGGGAGTTTAGAAAATATTATTTTTCTAGTGTAGATTCTAAATTCCATTGGTTGGCTGTGCACGTTTATCGACAGCTTAAAGAGGCATTTGTGCGGAAAAAAAAAATAAAAAAGAAAACAAACTGCTGTGGACATCCATTAGCATCACAGAAAATCATATAGAAAAAAAAAAATGTCTTCCCCATCAAATCCCTTAATTTTTTTTAATTTATTATTATTTTTCTTCATTTATTTATTTATTTTCATGCACATATTGACACATCTCAAATCTTTAAAAGGCTGCATATATTCAGTTCTTGGCCAACCAAAAATCACTTTGACTGTCTCTCTCTCTCTCTATTTTGTTGTCCGAAGGAATGTTTGATGATAGTGACTTTTACAGTGAAGTAGCTAAACTGAACTGCTTATAGTAATTCTTGAGTACACCAAGCCCTAATTTGTGGTTGGTCTCCTATGCTTCTTTTTGGAATTTGGTTGGAATGAATATTTAAGTCTTGTTTGATTAAAAAATTTTGTATAATTCATTTGAAATCTTATTTTAATATAATAATTTCATTTTTAAATTTTATGAAATCTTTAGGTCCTGTTTGTTTTAAGAGTTTCCTGATGTTTGAAACATTTAGAAAAGTCTGTTAAGAAAAATTACTTTTATGTTCAAAGGAACAACAAATTGTTTAACTTTCTCATTTTAGGAGAGAAAAATATTTGAATATTGACAAATTTATTATACAAAAGAAATAGCTTATGGATAAATATTTATTAATTCATTAATTATTGAAATTCACCGTTATCGACCATCATGAATGAAGACTATCATTAGTCACCACTACTAGTCATATATATATATTAAAATCTAATAATAAAATTTTTATAATCTTATAAATTATAAATTTTAATTTCTTAACTAATGTGTAATATTACAATCAAAAAATAGAAAGTGGGTGATTGAAAAATATTTAGCAAAGAGGAAAATGATTTTTATCAGAAAATATTTTTTTAAAAGTAAGATATTTTTCAAAATGAAATAGAAATTTCTAATCTTCACATGAATGATTGGTTAATAAAGTTTTAAATAAATTAATAAAATAAAAATTAAATAATGAAATTTTGAATAGATGGGTTGGCGAAGAAGCACATCATTATTTGTGACAGAGCTATTGGTAGGAATATATGCCTTAAACTAAATAATTAGTGTTAAAATTCGAATCAAAGTTCACAAAATAAAACAAATAGTATCTAACGTAAACTAAAAACAATTGATACCAAAACTTTTCTACATTTTTTATACGTAGACCTGTGCCATGATTCTGCTTAATAAAAACGGTACAGGCATTTCAATGTTTTTAAAAATGAAATCATTTGATTCTCCATTTTTGTCCCAATATGAACACATTATTACATAATCACTTGATACTGCCTTTTATCGCTTATTAGAAGACTAATAATGTCCAGCTTTCCTCCAGGTCACCCTTTCCTATTAATTAATTAATTAATTAATTAATTAATTAATTTGTTTGTTTGGATAAATTTTAAATTGAACATAATTAATTTAATTCTTAATTATACTTAATGCTATCATTATTTTATCAAAATAATGAAGAATTAAAATTTATAGGATACATGTAAAATTAAATTGTAGTACACACTTAGAATTATTTTGTCTTATTATGCTTAATGCTTTCGTTTAGTAGCAAATGTAACTAATTATGAGTTTAACGGTACATTAATTAATTATTAAATTTATAACTATAGTAATGTTATCTTTTTGGTGAAAAAATAATAATTTGGTAAACATGGTGGGAATTCCATTCAGTTGTTGTCTCGATCCATTTTGTTTTATTTCAAGGACTGAATTTTCATTTCGTCCTATCTCATTTTTGAATGAGGCGGGAGTACACATGTTAGGATATTATTATGATCTAAACTTGATTTAAGGACCTCATTGTAATAGATTAGGCCTCAACTGCTTAAATACTGACTATTATGCTTTATTTTGTAATTTTGGTTTATTGCTGAGTTTAGGTCCACGTGGTTCATATTGCTAAGTAGGATAGCCACCTGGAAACAATATATAACTAAGCTGTAATGTGTTAATTACATTCTTAATGAATCAAATATCAATTTCTTTATCTCTCTATCTTTCTCTTTCTCTATGTCACCCAAATCACCACAAAACCCTAATTTCAACCCCCTCCTTTGTCAGATTCAATGCCCAAAGGATATGACAAACTGGTATCAGAGCCGTCCGACCTAGACCAAACACTCACTTCCTTATTCCCTGTTCTAAACCAAAAGACTGTAATGATGAATGCAACGTGCGCGGATGCAAAACCTACAGAAGCGATCCTTGGTCCATGAAAAATCAATTGACGATTTGAGTGACTAATTCTACGATTGGAGGAGACGGTCAATTGGAGTATCGCCAATTCTCAATCTGAGCTACTAGAACTAAGATTAGTAGTGAATACCCTTCATGCAAATCAAACAAAAATGTTGGAGGATCTTTCCCAGCAAGTGATGTAGTTGATCGACTTATTAAAGATCGCACAAAAAGGTAAGACTCAAATATCTCCTTTGATAGATGTGGAGAACACTAAGGGTGTGAATGAGGATAAGGGTATTTTGCAAACACCTAACAATTGGGAATTGGGGAATCATATGTCCCTCCTAACCCTAAATTTTCAAATTCCCTAATTTTGGGATTGGATTGTCTCGTGTCCCTCCCAACCCTAAATTTTCAAATTCCCAATTTATTAGTCATAGTATTCTTAATGGACGTTGGTGGGCATTCTATGTATTTCCCTAGACAGTCCCCTCCTAGAATAGGTTATACCAATCATTTTTTTAATATGACCCAACTAGCCCAAAGAAACCTTTAGAATAGCACACTAAACCTTAAAATGGACCTTCCTTTTTTGATGGGACCAACCCACGAGGGTGGATAAGGAAATTTCACAAATATTTCCTTATTTATGGTATCCAAGAACCTCAAATGATTGAATTAGCCAGTCTTTTCTCAGCAAATGCACCTGATGCTTGGTTACAGGGTTGGCAAATTCATAATGCCAATGC